TGTAGCCCAGATCTTTCTCTCGAACTGCCTGCATCAGTCAGGGTCTAATCATGAGAAAGCAACTGCACACTAAGCCGAACACTGACAGTTTAATATAAAGAATTATGAACTACAACAGGGGATTGGAGTAGTACAGTATTGGCTAGTGGGGAGCACAGAGAACAGGTATACAGAAATAGCACATACGAGGAACAGCCACGATACCTAAGGCTGAGCTAGAAGCCAAGGGAGAGATTCCCTCAGGGCTAAGACCCAGCCTCATTTGGGGAGCCGCAGCTGTGCTTCCCTGGATGGCAGGAGTCACTCAGGTGCCCCACTGTGGAACTTGCTGGGAATCCACACTCCAGGGTGCTGGGGAAAGCTGCTAGAAGTGGGGAGGGAGGGTGTCTCAGAGAAAGGATTCTGCTTGGAAAAGGCTGGAGAGTGATATTAGAGGAAGATGCTGGCTGTAGGGAGCTGCTGATTGACTTGTCCTTCAGGAGCCTGGGGCTAGATACAGGGAACATGCTGCAGGAGGACAGAGAGAGAGAGAGAGAGAGAGAGAGAGAGAGAGAGAGAGAGAGAGGGGTGAGTGTGGAGCTGGGAGGGAACAAACTGATAACAGAAACATCCTCCAATCCCTTTTCTCTTTCTTGAGCCTATCCCTAGTCCAATTCACTGCCAAGCCCTTTAATGTACGTTGAAGCCATTTTTCTTTCTCCACCTTCAGAATTCTGTCCTTGGCTTGCTTCATAATAATCTTTCAAAGCCTCCTAACTGGTTTTTCTGTCTCATTATTGGTCCCCTTCAACCTATTTTCAGCATCTGCACAGTCAGTTACTTTAACTCTAAGTTCGTCCACATGAGGTGAAGAACTCTTAAAGATATAATCCTGCCTATCTTCTGAATCTCAGCCTCATCTCTAATCATTCCCTTGCTTATCTGTGGTGGACACTAGTGAGCTATAGGATGTCCTTATTAGTCAAACCCTGGTTATTTCAAACCCCAAATCCAGAAGGTTGTATAGGAAATGAAACTAATATAAATAACACCAACATTTTACTAATGAGCAAGCTGTTTATGAAATCATGCCCCTCTGAAACATCCCTCCCACTTAATACCAGTGTCTATGGCCTCACATCACATGAGTGGGTTGTTGGTGAGCCACGATGCTGGCTGATAAAAATATCTGGTGATAGAATGAAAAAAAATTACAAGAATTCCAAAGGAATCAACTCTGGCTTCTCTTTTCATTTGTTCTGAGTATTTAGAGTTCAAACCTAGGGCTGTTCTGCCTTCTCCCTAAGGTGATATCTGATTGTGGGAGGAAAGTGTGGTATTTATGTAACATCATATCAGGTGGGGAGAGGTACTTGTTTTGTACAGATTTTTTAGAACAGCCTTTCCTGTATTTCAGAAAACATTCTTACAGATCCTACCCTTATATTTCCCTAGTGTCTAGTTGACTTTTATTTTTTTAATATATTTTATTGATTATGCTATTATGGTTGTCCCATTTCCCCTCTTTATTCCCCTCCACCCTGCACATCTCTTCCCACTCACATCCCCCCCCCTTTAGTTCATGTCCATGGGTCATACATATAAGGTCTTTGGCTTCTACGTTTCCTATACTATTCTTAACCTCCCCCTGTCTATTTTCTACCTACCATTTATGCTACTTATTCTCCATAACTTTTCCCTTCTCTCCCCATCCCAGTGCCCTGTTGATTACCCTCCATGTAATCTCCATTTCTGTGGTTCTGTTCCTGTTCAAGTTGTTTGCTTATAGTTTGCTTTTGTTTTTGTTTTAGGTGTGGTTGTTAATAACTGTGAGTTTGCTGTCATTTTACTGTTCATATTTTTATCTTCTTTTTCTTAGATAAATCTCTTTAACATTTTGTATAATAAGGGCTTGGTGATAATGAACTCCTTGAACTTGACCTTATCTGAGAAGCACTTTATCTGCCCTTCCATTCTAAATGAAAGCTTTGTTGAATAGAGTAATCTTGGATGGAAAGGAAAGGAAGGTCCTTGCCTTTCATGACTTGGAATACTTCTTTCCAGCCCCTTCTTGCCTGCAAGGTCTCTTTTGAGAAATCAGCTGACAGTTTTATGGGCACTCCTTTGTAGGTAACTGTCTCCTTTTCTCTTGCTGCTTCTAAGATTCTCTCCTTATTTTTAATCTTGGGTAATGTAATTATGATGTGCCTTGGTGTGTTCCTCCTTGGATCCAACTTCTTTGGGACTCTCTGAGCTTCCTGGACTTCCTGGAAGTCTATTTCCTTTGCCAGAATGGGGAAGCTCTCCTTTATTATTTGTTCAAATACCTGCTCAATCTGTTGCTTTTCCTCTTCCCTTTCTGGTACCCCTATAATTCGGATGTTGGAATGTTTAAAGATGTCCTGGAGCTTCCTAAACCTCTCCTCATTTTTTTTGAATTCTTATTCCTTCATTCTTTTCTGATTGGATGTTTCTTTCTTCCTTCTGGTCCACACCATTGATTTGAGGCCAAGTTTCCTTCCCATCACTACTGGTTCCCTGTACCTTTTCCTTTATTTCACTTAGCATAGCCTTCGTTTTTTCATCTAATTTGTGACCAAATTCAACCAATTCTGTAAGCATCCTGACTGCCAATGTTTTGAACTGTGCATCTGATAGGTTGGCTGTCTCTTCATCGCTTAGTTGTATTTTTCCTGGAGCTTTGATCTGTTCTTTTGTTTGGGCCATTTTTTTTTTGTCTTGGCACACCTATTACTAGTAAGGAATGGAGCCTTAGGTGTTCACCAGGGCAGGGCAACCCAGGTCGCTGCACTGTGATGCTGTATGTGGAAAAGGGAACAATGGAGCTTGCTCCACTCTCTGCCAGTTTTCAGTCACTTCCCCCACTACCCACACGCAGATTGGGCCCTTCTGATGCTGATTCCTGGTGGGTGGGCCTGTGCACGCTCTAGGACCCTGTGGGGGTCTCTCCAATGAACTCGCCTGTGAGGCTGGGAGTTTCTCCCAATGCCGCCTCAACCCCCAGAAGGTGTTTTCAATCCGTGGTTTGAGGCTTTATTTTCCCCACACTGGGGCCCTGGGTTGCGTAGTCCGTCCTGCTCCCCAGTTGTTTCTCCTGGTTTATCTGCACATGAATGTGGGACCACCCAGTCTGCAAGCCACTGCCTCACCGGGTCTGCCTGCTGCTACCTTGCCAGCCAGCTGCAGCCTTGCGTGCCCTGCTCCACAATCTGCTGCCTGGCTGGGTCCTTCAGCTGCTGCCTTGCTGCGAGTCCTCTCTGCCTGGCCGCCAGTCTCCACCCCTCCCACCGGTCTGGATGAATGTGTCTTCTTTAACTCCTTGGTTGTCGGACTTGCATGCAGTTTGATTTTCTGTCAGTTCTGGTTGTTTTTTGTTTTTAAATTGTTGTTCTCCTTGTTTTGGCTGTGCGAGGAGGCACAGTGTGTCTACCTATGCCTCCATTTTGGCCAGAAGTCTCTAGTTGACTTTTAAATGAACTTTATCTAGTCCTGCAATGTTGGCTCAATTGAACATTATAATAGTTTATTTTCTCAATAAAACTTAGCACTTGCTAATGAAAACATTGGCCTGTATAACTGTTTTTTCTCTAAAATGGGTATCAAAAGCCTAGTTTGGAACTGAAAGCTGAACATTGTTTCTTTCTTCCTTTTATTTTATTTACTTTTTTTTTTGTAGCTGAGCTTTGCTCACCCCTCTGAACAGGCTAAGGGAGCAATAACAATTGCCATGAATAAAAAGTGCTTGTGATAATATTTCAAATTATTACCCTAAATGTGTTAATCTCATAGATATTATGTTGCATAAAAGAAACCAGCCCCCAAAGAATATAATGTATGATTTCTTTTACAGGAGGTTTAAGATCATACAAAACTTATGTTTATAAAAGCCAGAACATTGATTACTTTGGGAGCATGTTATATAATCTGAGAAATTGCAGGAGAAAATCTCATTAGATGCTAGAATGTTCTATAACTTGATCTGGGAATTGTATATTAATATGGGGAAGACAAATTTTTATCTGTACTCTTAAGATTAGTGTGCTTTGTAATGTAATTTTATATTGTCTTTCAATGAAAATTAATACATTTTTAAGTAACAATAGTGTTAGTTTCCTATTGTCATTGTAATAAGTCACCAAAAATTTAGCAGCTTAAATAAAACAACACACATCTATTATCTTATAACTCTGAATGTTAGAAGTCCAACATGGGTCTCCCTGGGCTAAAGTCAAGGTGCTGGCATGTCTGTGCTCCTGTCTGGCACCTGTCAGGGAGAACCCATGCTGTGCTGTGTTTTGCCTTTTTTGAGTTTCTCGAGGTTTCCCCTGTTCTGTGGCTGGGGATCTCCTTCCATTCTCAAAGCCAGCGTTGGCCAGCTGATGACATCTCTCTGTTCTGATCCTTCTGCCTCCCTCTTAGCCGTTTAAGTACTCTGGTGACTGCGTTTGTTCCACCTGAATAATCCAGTATAACTACCTGTTTTAAGGTTATTTGAATGGCAATGTTCATTCCCTCCTACCATGTAATTTACCATATTCAGGAGCTTCCAGAATTAGCATATGTATGTTTTCAGGGTGGGGGGACATTGTCCTGTTTACCACAATTATGTTCTGTTACAGTTTCTTAATTTATAAGTAAAGTTTTCAACATATAATCCCAACCAAAAAACTAAAAACTATGAACAAGAAAATCTGGATCCAATTTTCAAGTGACATCTACCACAATGGGCTTTTTTCTAGTACCAATTATTTCTGGATCTGCTTACTCTAGTGCATATGTGTTTATGGCATGACCCGTGAAGGCTCAACCTCCTGTCCTGTCTATTCCCTGAAATATAATAGAATATTCAGCTATAAAGAGTATTAAACACAGGTTTCTGGATGGGGGAGTGCAAAATGCATATCAAGAGAGAAAAAATAGCTTGGTTGTAACTTCCATCTCAAGAAACACCAAGGGCAACTCACCCCTCACTATAAAAAATAATTTTTCATTTGTTGCAGAAAGACCTTTCCAGAAGCAACAAATATATGCCACCTCTGCGATGGCCTACTTGACCTACCCAGAAGGCTGACTCTCTGGACTTCCGGCAGTTGTTCACTTGGCCTGCATGCTGTTCCCCTGGTAAGACAGTCGGCACATGTGATAAACTGTTAAAGACCCAGTGTAGATAGGGAATATGCCACACTTTTAGACATCACTTGTGAACTGTTTTCTGGGTAAGACAAGGCACACAGTTAAGGTGGTTCATACTGCTTTTAATTTGAAATGAGGTTGACTGGTAAGTCCTCATTCCTTAATTTCTATGTAGGCTCTCTTGTGTTCCATTGGTGAAGCACTGCAGTGATGACACAGGAGTTGATGGACTACCAAACTACCTGGTAAATTTGTAGTCCTGTGCAGTGTATAGCTAGAACAGCAACATGGAGTTTTATCACAAATCAGGCAGTGGGAAGAAGGCTGGAAAAATGCCAAGCTTGGATTTGACTTAAACTTTGCTTTAAAAAGGAAAAGGGCTTGCCCTGGGTGGGTAGCTCAGTTGGCTAGCGAGTCATCCCAATGACCCAGGATTGAGGGTTTGATCCTTGGCCAGGGCACATACAGGAATCAGCAAATGAATGCATAAGTAGAACATCAAATCATTCTCTCTCTCTCTTTCTCTCCCTCATCAATAAATTTTAAAAATTTATACTAAAAAATTAAAAGTAAAAGAGCTTCTTAAAAAATGGAAGCTTTTAAGCAGAGAATGTAATACTGTTTTTTCCAGGCATGCCATGATGGAATCTAAGAATATCAGAGAAAAGAGAGAAATGAAAACAGGGCACACACAAGGAACTGGAAATGAGACTGGAACTGGACTCCTCAGCAGCAATGTTGCAACAAGAGTAGATCAATGCCTTCAAAACTCTGGGAAAAATTTATTTTTACCTGGAATTCTGTATTTGTCTTCTTGAAGGCATTGCTCCTTCGATTCCTGACCACTGTGGGTTGCCACAGAGCACTTGACTTTGATTCTCTTTGGCATCTCTCCCTGCACGCATTGTAATCCACCTTCCTCTTCCTCTGATAAATCATTTCTCACGCCTGCATCCCCTTTCTGTTTTCATGCTGTGTTTCACTCACATACTTCCCAGTCATATTGAAGATGCCGTTTGTATTGCAGTTTCTCTTTCTTCTTGTTTTGGGGGAATCTGCAATTACCTATAGAAAGGCCTTTTCCCTGCTCCCTTAAAATGAAAAGATTTCCCCCCCTGTTTTACTCATTCAGTTTTTCAACAGCTACTTATTGATTGACTACTCTCAGCCAGGCTAAGGAAATAAAACAAAAGTAAGGCCCTAATGGCTTCCATGACAACTTTTCGGCAATTCCAATTCTACTCTATTCCTGCGGACAGATGACAAGGTTAGGTGCTTATTCTCAGGAAGACAAAAGAAAAGGCACATTCCAATTGTCAACACTCTGCATCTTACACACACTCATGCGGCTGCTGTTATGCACACTTGCATCTGTTCTCCGTGTTCTTTCTCCTGATGGAAGCCTCTTTAGGGCATCAGAAGCTGGAAAATCCTTCCCAGTAGATTCCCCCCGCGTTCTCACTCTATTTTCATTTGCCTGTACATTTCTTATCTTTGTCAAATGAGTCAGCAAAAATGTAACTGTTCCCTTATTTGACTTGTTTCATGTGTTTCAGTGTCTCACTGAAACGAAGTGGCCAGGGATGCTGTTCCAAAGTCCATGGCGTCTGCGCAGATGGTGCCCACATGGGAAGGTGTCTATTCACCCCTCCTGCTCCATCTGGACACCCGGGTGTTAGCTACAAATGCTCATTGGTTGGATGCTTTGTATACTTACACTTACAGAGCCTGTGGTTTTTTTAAAGCTGAAATTTCTAAAATCAATAAAAGGGTCAATTAAAGAGTGAAGTCTCAGAATGTGGTAAATATAGTTCATTAAAGAGTTAACTTAGGCACTCTTGGTGGGAATGTGGATTGGTGCAGCCGCTGTGGAATGCAGTATGTAGTTTATTCAAAGAATTAAAAAATGGGACCATCTTATGACCCAGTGATTACACTCTTGGGAATTTATCTGAAAAAAAAAACAAACAAACAAAACACCCGAGACACTAATTCAGAAGAATATATGCACCCTTATTTTCAAGTCAGCTAATAGGAATAAAGAGTCTAGGCCAGTGATGCTCGTTCAGTGAAGGTGGTCGGGGAAGTCATCTCCAATGAGGCAGCAGGAGAGCAGACACCTAAAGGAAGAGAGTGAGCTGTGTTGATAGCTGGAGGGAAGCACCCAAAGAGAGAAAGCAACAAGTGCAGAGGCCTGGGGTAGGAGTGTGCCTGAGGAGCATTACGGATGCCGGTATGGTGAAAGCTAAGAGAGAGTGGGACACGGGGGAGAAAAGGGACCTGAAGTTAAAACCAAACCAGCAGTGGAGTCCAGGTCATGCAGGATTATTTAAGGAATATACCATAAATAAGTAAACATTTCCACGCAATGTATCCTAAAAGTTCTCAGGCATTTTCTCAACTCCTGAGCAACAATATTTCCAGTTTGAGTTATAAATGCAATAAGTTGCACCTGCCAACTTATTAGATGCATAAATAACCTCCACATTGTTAAAATCAGTGGTCTCATTAGTCCTATCCTTTGACCTACCAATGGCACCTGATGCTACTGATCCCTCCTGCCTCCTTAAAGCATCTCACGTACTTCCTAGTTTCCCCTCTGCTCCATTTCTCAGCCTCTGTGCCAGGCTCAGTGCTAGGCACTGGGAATGGAACAGAGAATAAGACAGGCATGATGGCACCCACGGTGCGTAGGCATTAGGGAAGGAGACCAAGAGACAAAGAAAAAACAAGTAGAGAAACAGATAAAATAAAATAATTGCATAGTGTAGTAAACACTGCCTATGAAGGAAACAGATGTTGAAATGAAGAATAATGGAGAATTTAGTGGGGAACCCGCTGTGGATATTGCAAGCAAGGAAAGCTTTACTGAGGGCAGAAACTTCAGTCAAGACTTAAAAGTAGGTGTCCAATTTGACCCAGTTTGCTCAGGACTTTCCTGGTTTTAAAACTAAAAGTTCTGCAGCCTTGGAATCCCTTCAGTTCTTGGCAAACCAGGATGGTTAGTCACCCTATTTGAAGGATGAGAAAGAATCAACTTTGCAAGGAGTGGAGGAACAAGCGAGCACCCTAGGAAGAGCGGACTGCACAGGGGAAAGGCTCTGAGGTGGGAGGGAGCTTGGAGAGGTCAGGGAAGGGTCAGTGCAGGGAGGGAGCTGCAGGAACTGGTGGGGAGGAAGTGCTGCGCAGGGAGCAGGTTATGAAGTGGGGGCTCTGCTACAGAGTTTTGACTTATTTGAGGTGCAATGGAAAGATATTGACAGGTTTTTTGTAGAGAGTGATACAATTTGGTATTTTAAAAAGTCATTTTGGCTGCTATGCAGAAAAAGTATAGAGGGGGTGAAGATGAGAAGATTAGGATGATATGGCAGTAGCCCAGGTGAGCAATGAAGTTGAAGAGAAGGATGTAGGGAGGCAGAAAGGACAGAACTCTCTGATGGATGTTTCCTGGGGTTTTAATTTGAGCAGCTGGATACATGGTCTAGTGAATGGAGGAAGAAGAGGTACTTTCTGCCTAACTCTCCAACCCTTCTGTAGACTAGCGACACATGCCAGAAATTGTAACTGTGTGGGTTTGTGCAACTCCTTACAAAAGGCATTCTCTCCAGAATTTCAAATATGTAACCTACATAAATAGGAAGCTTAGAGCCATGCAAAGTTGTCATCTCTGAATCTCTGGTATAACCCAGTTAATTTATTTTTAGTGAAAAACACTGACAAATGATCTCCCAAGCAGAGATAACTAGAAGGAAAAGTATCTAATGTTCCCGTTTGTGGTGTGGGCCTCCCCACAGCTGTGTAACTTCTGCACCCTTAGATCCTGCCTGCCTGCCACTAGAGCTCAGGCATTGAAAAAAGAAAGAAGGAGTTTGAAAAATTACTATGGACAAAAAAAATACATTTAAAAAGAAAATGGTGAACAAAAATTTAAGTTAATAATTAAACAAGAACTTCAAATAAAAGGACTGAGCCAAGAATTTTTCAGAAAATTAAAGTAATAGATTTGGTTCAGAATTAAAAGATAAAAAGAAAAGTTTAAAAGAGACATAACTAAAGAGTTAAAGAAACAGATTAAAGATAAAAATTAGGGCTCAATAAAAATATATAAAAAGAATAAAATATACATTGCAAAATCAAAAACAGGATGAAAAGTAAAAAATCTAGACCCCAATATTTAGAAGGGTGAAATCTGGCAAAGCTAAAATAAACTAAAGGATAAATATAAAAAACAAAAATAGAAAGGTGGCAAAACACTAAAGGAGGAAGTGCAAAAAATCAAAATGTTAAAAGCTGTTAGGATTAGACTCCAATTCCCCAAGTATTTGTGGAATGAAGGTTTGGAAAAAGAAACTCACATTATTTAAAAAGAAACAAAACTGACAAGTCACATGACTGACTTGCTGCAGATGGTCTCTGGGCTGAAGTAACTCCCATCTGTTGGGGGCCTCCAGGAGCCTTGTGACCGAAGAGATGGCCTGAACTGCCAGGGTCTAGGATCTCTCAAGTGCCTGCCTCTTCAATGCCGGTGGCAGTCTGTGGGGCAATAGCAAGTAATCAGCTTGAAGCTTCACTGTGAACTAGTGTTAATATTGCTATCGCCCTATCTCTGTTTCTATATGTTACTGCACAAAAGTGGATAATACAGAAACCACTGGGATGGATTGTTTCTTGAGTATGAATGTATTGTGTTTTTTTTTTAAAGATTTTATTTATTTATTTTTAGAGAGGGAAGGGAGGGGGGAAAGAGAGGAATAGAGAAAGAGAGAGAGAGAGAGACATCCATGTGTGGTTGCTGGGGGTTCTGGCCTGCAACCCAGGAATGTACCCTGGCTGGGAATCGAACCTGGGACACTTTGGTTCCCAGCCCGCGCTCAATCCACTGAGCTACGCCAGCCAGGGATGAGTATGAATGTATTGTTAATGCCTTCTGCAACTTTAACCTCAAAACAGAGATCTCGAGGCTGAGAATGATAGGGAAGACAGCCTGATCACTCAGAAGGCTTCCTCTGAGACAGTTTTCCTTTTCTTACAAAACACTCCCCCAGCTATGTAAGCTTTTAAAACTATCCTCCTGGGACTCAGAGCAGCCAACAATTGTGAAAAAGAACAAAGTTATAGGACTCACACTTCACAATTTCAATACTTAATACAAAGCTACAGTAATCGGGACAAGGGCATACTGGCATAAAGAGGGATAGATAGATTAATGGAATAGAAGTGAGAGTCCAGAAATGAACCCACATAGCCACGCTCAAGTAATTTTCAACACAGGTGCCAAGATCATTCAATGGGGAAAGAACACGTTTTTCCAGCAAATAGTGCTGGGACAAGTAGAGAGCCACATACAAAAGAATGAAGTCCCCTCACTCGCATCATGTGCAAAAATTAACTCAAAATGAAATATCTAGTATAGGTGAATCTATGGAGACAGAAATTAGGTGAATAATGGCTGAGGTGAAGATGGAGGGATGAGGAGATGGGACATGACTGTTAATTCTCATGACAGTTCCACGAGGTAGATACTTTTCAATCTTCATTTTACAGATGAAAATCTGAGGCAAGGATAAGGTGCCCACACAGTTAATAAGGGGCAGTGGCAGGAGTGGGATCACTCCAAGGTTGCTGGGAGGATACCAGCTGGGAAGCACTCACCGTGGGGCAGCTGCTGTTATCTATAAACAGTGATCTTGAGTGGTGACTCGTATCACAAACACACTGTGTTTTAGGCAGGGTCATGACAGCACAACAAATACTAAGTCCTATTGAGATAAAACTATACATCATACTTGGGTATATTTTCCCTTCCATTTTGAGATGTGACTATTGTATATATAATAAAGTATGTAATCCAGGAGATGAATATCAAAATTTAAATGTGACCAGTTTATTTTTTTAAGATTTTATTTATTTTCTTTTTAGAGAGGGGAAGTGGGGGAGAAAGAGAGGGAGAGAACCACCAATGCATGGTTGCCTCTTGTGTGCTCCCCACTGGGGACCTGGCCTGCAACCCAAGCATGTGCCCTGACTGGGAATCGAACCAGTGACCCTTTGGTTTGCAGGTCAGCACTCATTTCACTGAGCCACACCAGCCAGGGCATGACAAGTTTATTTTTAAATGAAATGAAATCTTGCACATGAATTTTGATTACCTTGTTCAACTCCCCAAAGCCCCTCATTCAATTTTCTACCTAAATGAGTTTTGAAGGGAAAGAATAAAAAAACAATTCTAGAGGGGTTTTCACCCCTGAGTGAATTCCTTTCACAGCTTTTTCATATAGGGAAGTAGAATTTTTTCACAATATTAGTAAAAGGGTGAGAAATTTCTTTACACCTAAAGACTGGTAAACCATAAATGTTTAACTCAGCTCTCGTAACAACAAACTCAGAACTCACATCTGTGACTTCAGTAGAATATACTCACACTTACAGCCCAACATCACACAACACAACTACAGAATCCGTAGAGACACTGGCATGAAGGTTTAAAGAACAAATCTGTGGAAAAGAAATAATACCTCTATAGAAAAACATCTGCACAGAATAATCAGATATTCTTTTTAGGACAAAAAAATGCAAAATTAAATTCATGTGTTCTTAATTGTGCCTTTGGAGAACAAAGTAGAAAACTATTGGGTGGTCAGGTCAGAACTGAAAGGCAGAAAAGGATAGAAATTTTATTCATTGGAGTATATATTCCATGACATCTTAAATTTCTAGCTGTAGAGGCTGTGAGGCTGTTTGTCATTTTGGGGTTGTACCCTCCCCC